ATACCAATTTAGTTTCATGTATTTTTTCTACTGCCTAGTATATTCCAAGTAAATGCTATAGCTAGTAATTAAATTCTTCAAAACTGTAGGAATAATTAAAAGTTCAACTAGGAAAATTAGAAATACTTAGCAGAGTGATAGCTCAATCACCTAAGGAGATCAACTTAAAAAAAAATTTTTTTTTTGGAGTCTCACTGGGTAGAGTGCTGTGGCGTCATAGCTCACAACAACCTCAAACTCTTGGGCTCAAGTGATTCTCTTGCCTCAGCCTCCCGAGTAGCTGGGACTATAGGTGCCACTGCAACGCTCATCTATTTTTAGAGATGAGGCCTCACTCTGTCTGAGGCTGGTCTCAGACCTGTGAGCTCAGGCAATCTACCTGCCTTGGCCTCCCAGAGTGCTGGATTACAGGCGTGAGCCACCATGCCTGGTCCAACTTAAAACTTTGACTTGAGGCACGGTGCCTCTAGCTCAAGCGGCCTAAGGTGCCAGCCATGTACACCAGAGCTGGCAGGTTTGAATCTAGCCCAGGCCTGCCAAACAATGACAACTGCAACCAAAAAATAGCCAGGCCTTGGGGTGGGTGCCTGTAGTTTCAGGAGGCTGAGGCAGGAGAGTCACTTGAGCCCAGGAGTTGGAGGTCACTGTGAGTTGTGACCACAGGGCATTCTTCCCAGGGTGACAGCTTGAGGCTCTGTCTCAAAAACAAAACTTTGACTTGAATGTTCTAGCCATTGTTCTAACTTTTGAGAACACTAATACTGTTTTCAAAAACCTCCCCTGCATTTTTTCTTTTTTGGTAGAGACAGTTTCACTTTATTGCCCACAGTAGAGTGCTATAGCATCACACAGCTCACAGCAACCTCCAACTCTTGGGCTTAGGCAATTCTCTTGCCTCAGCTAACCGAGTAGCTGGGACTACAGGCTCCAGCCACAATGCCTGACTACTTTTTGTTGCAGTTTGACCAGAGCTGTGTTTGAACCCACAACCCTTGGTATATGGGGCTGGCACCCTGCCCACTGAGCCGCTTGCCTGCTTTTCTCTTTTCATTCTACTAATACAGCCTTAGATGATGTTAACCAAGAAAGACTTAAAATAAGTATTGCTTGTTGCATAAAACTATATTGATATTTATAGCTCAGAGACTAGTTGCTGTCACTTCGCCTATTTAAAACTCAAATGGTGGCTTGGCGCCTGGGGCGCCAGTGGCTAGGGCACCAGCCACATACACCTAAGGTAGTGGGTTCGAATGTAGCCCAGGCCCACCAAACAATGATGGCTGCAACCAAAAAATAGCTGGGCGTTGTGGTGGGCACCTGTGGTCCAGCTACTTGGGAGGGTGAGGCAGGAGACTTGCTTGAGCCCAGGAGTTGGAGGTTGCTGTGAGCGGTGATGCCATGGGACTCTACCTAGGGGGACAGCTTGAGGCTCTGTCTAAAAAAAAATAAAACTCAAATGGTGGGTGGTGCCTGTGGCTCACTGGGTAGGGCGCCAGCCCCATATGCTGAGGGTGCTAGGTTTGAACCCAGCCCTGACCAGCTAAAACAGCAGTGGCAACTGCAACAAAAAATAGCCAGGTGTTGTGGCGGGCGCCTATAGTCCCAACTACTCGGGAGGCTAAGGCAAGAGAATCACTGAAGCCCAAGAGTTGGAGTTGCTGTGAGCTGTGACATCATGGCACTCTACCGAGGGTGACAAAGTAAGACTCTGTCTCAAAAAACAAAACTCAGGGAGGTGCCTGTGGCTCAAGGAGTAGGGTGCTGCCCCATATACCAGAGGTGGTGGGTTCAAACCCAGCCCCGGCCAAAAACTGAAAAAAGAAAATAGCTGGGTATCATGGTGGGCACCTGTAGTCCCAGCTACTTGGGAGGCTGAGGCAATAGAATTGCTAGAGCCCAAGAGTTAGAGGTTGCTGTGAGCTATGATGCCACAGCAGTCCACCAAGGGTGACAAGCCTCTGTCTCAAAAAAAAAAAAAACTCAGTTCTGAAAAGATGATTGAGGTATAAGACTAAAGGTTTTTCTAGGTATCCACGGTTTTCGAACTTTCTTCTGAGATAGAGGGAAGTGAGTGAAACAAGAAGGGAAGGCAATCATAAAAGAATTGCTGAGAAGAAAAAGAATCACATTCATTCAGTGGCTACTCAGGGACTGAAGTTCATCATTTCCATTATCCTCTGTTTAATTCTCTAACTCACTGCTGAACAGTCTCTAAGACATTTTAGATTTTGGAACATCATGTTTTCTTTACAAATGAACACTCTAATTGTGGATCATAAGAGTGCAAACACTCTGAAGAGTTAAGAGTGTACATTATCACATTAAATAGTTGGGTTTTCACTTTATTTTCTGTGTCCAATTATAGATTCATTGAAGTCTAAAAAGTACTTGTCTTCAGTGGCGCCTGTGACTCAGTGATTAGGGTGCCAGCCCCATATACCGAGGGTGGCAGGTTCAAACACAGCCCTGGCCAAACTGCAACAACAAAAAAATACCTGGGTGTTGTGGCGGGTGCCTGTAGTCCCAGCTACTCAGGAGGCTGAGGCAAGAGACTCACCTAAGCCCAGGAGTT